AAGTCATCCAACGAGTAAAAGGCAAAGCTGGGATTCAAGCACAGTCCACCTGCCCCCCGCCAGATCCACCCTGACATTCCCACACAACCTTGAATAGTGCCCAGCAGCTACAAAGGATCAAGTCTAAACTGCAAATAATACAGACATGCTTAGAAAACCATGCAATTCAATAGCTGCTTACTTTGTCTCTCCCACATTTTCAGAGTGAAATAATTCTACCCTACCCTTCTCTGAGCAAAGCACTCTGGGATCCTCTGGGATGATGGCAGCTACAAAAATATAAGTTATTATTACAATTATCATAATAATCCTTATCTGACTATACAACTACGGATTCTTTTTTAAAAGGCATATAAATAAAAAAAAATAGACAAAATGATTAAGAGACATTCAAAATCTCTACAATCTCAGGAAGACTCAGAAATGAAAAAATTATTTTAGTCACAAGCCTTGTGACTGTCAGCTAAAGTGCTTCCAAACTGCTTGCACTGGCTTGGTTCCCACTGATTGAATGCAATTATGAATTGACTTCTATGGGCTGATAAATCAGAACTAGTGTAAGTGGTTTTCAGAGCTCATCTGTGCAATTTAAGTTTGATGCAGACTTCCACAAAAATTTTCCTTTAAAAAAAAGTTCATGAAGATATTAACTATCATGAAATACCTTCCTGGTTAGTTCATGCCATTGGGAAGAAGCTGCTATTCTTATATTAATAATTCTCCCCTGAATTAATCAGTCATTGTACATTAGAACCAGCAGCTGGAGTGTTTTGAGTGATAATGAAACCTGTAACAAGGAATCTTCAGCCGTCTTTTCAAGACAATAAGGGAATTAAAATTTCAATTTAAATGCAGAGGTTTGAAACACGCTTCACTGGCAAAATTACTTCAATTAATGTGAGTGGAATACAAAGGACAGACTGCAGAAATGTGATGCAGCAACCAGAAATTATGTCATTAATGTGCTTGCATCAACCCTGCACAATGACTGCAAAGGTCTAATTTAAACCGTACATATCACAAAGCTACAGGCTACAATATTAATCAACTCTCTGATTTCAAAGTGATGGATCCAGGCTTCTTGTTGGGATCACTTTGACTTTTCATAAGCTAACCACAGCTGTTTACCTTGTAGAAGGAAACAAAAGGGCATGCCTATTTGCAGACATTCCCTGTCTTGACAATTTAATTATTTTATGCAATACTTGGGTTATCACATCAAAACAAGAAATAAATATCCCATCTAGACGCCAATGCCATAGCTATCAGGCCAGTCTGATGGTGAAGTAGGAATTGCAGGAGCTGGCAAGAGCCCATGGGTCACCACTGATTTATTTACTCTGGATTTATTAACCTGAATAGGGATTAAATTACTGGGCATCTACACCTGTCTTAAAATGGAAATGCAAAATCTTTTGATAAACAAATCCAAGAAAATCAGAGGGTTTGAAACACTAGATTGTTCTAGCTTCACTTTCCTCTGCTGTCTTTTAGCAAAGATTTCCATTTGGACCCTCGAGATACCTTAAGTAGATTTTACTTCTAACAGCACAAAGCCATGGGGAAAGGAAATAGGATTATTTTTTCATATGAAGTTCAATAAAGAGCAATTATAGACCTTACTCTTCAACTCTCATATACAAAAGGCCAAGCTGAAGAGTATCTCCAAATTTTAAGGGCACCTTAATCCTACCTCCATGAAATCTTCATTTTACAGGAGGACATGCCAACTCCCCATATCATGCAAAGCAACCACTTCATCTATAAAGTGGGCAAAATACAACAAATCTTTCTCACAGGATTGTTGAAAGATTAAATGCATTAGCGACTGTAACATACTTTAAAAGAGCACCAACTCATAGTAAATGCTCAGTACATATTAGCTATATAATAATTATTGCTTTAGTAATTAACTTAAATATTGCAAAAATGAAGGTTTAAAACTAGAGAACCCTTCCACTTAAAAATAAAAACACTGAGTCAGAGCAGAAAAATCAGACCAGAATGCCTGGGTAGGATTGTTTTTCTCTTCACTTAGGGGCAGGGAAGTCTTGCAGTCAGTTATCCACTAGGCTAATGTTCTGTGAACTCTGCGTATGAATGCACTGTCCTAGGTAGAGGACAGACAAAAGTAAAATATCGCCCCTACCTTCAATGACCTGCCACACAAACTAAAGCAATTATAAGATAATGAAATAAATGTAGCTTATTGGAATATAGAGAAACCATGTACTCAAGTATTCTTATCACAATAATACAATTTTTTTTTAAATGACAGCACCTAGCCACTAGGAAGATTTAAAGCATTATAATGAAATTTAAGACAGGTCTTAAAGAATAAATCATCATTTTTCCAAGCAGACAGATTGGGATTAGGTCCAGGGAACTATATGGTCAATTTAAAAAGAAAAACCTATATAGGACCCCTATATATCAGCAACAAATAATTACAAATTATAGTTAATAAAGAACTACTTTTCTAAAGGAACCAAAATGATACCCAGAAATAAACAAAGTACATGTGGTATCTCTAAGGAACATATTACTAAGCAGCATTATGAAGGAGATAAATGAAGGTTGCAAATAACGAGACAGATGCTGTTCGCTGAAAGACTCAATATCACAAGGATGAAGTTACCTTAAATTTCATCAAAACCCCACCACACTTTTTGTGGAACTTGACAAGTTGATACTGAAACACATATGCAAGAGTAAAAGACCAAGAATAGCACAAACAATTCTGAGTGGCAATATCTTCACCTGTCCTCAAGATACATTATGATAATAATTAAAACAGCATGGTTTGGTGCAGATCAGATGAGACTAAGTGAACAAAATAAAGAGCTCAGAAATAGACCAAGCCATGCCTATGCAAAACTGGGTATGTGATGAAAATGGCATTATAAGTTGGTAGAAGATGGATTCAATAAATGGTCTAAGCCAAAACACTACATCGAAGATAAAATCAGATGACTATATATTAAAATAGACTAAATAAATGGGAAAAAAACGTCTGCATGACACTAGAATAGGAAATATTTAAAATAAAAATGATATAAAAGAAAATATTGAGAAACTTCTTTGCATTAAATTATAAAGCTTTATAATTAAAGATACCAAATATCTTTTAAACAATTTTAAAAGATATGGGACCAACTGGGAGAAAATATTTACAATTCATCTGGATCAGTATCCAGAATATATAAAGAACATCAACTAGCAAAAAGGAACTTCTGGATATCATACACTCACCCATTCTTTGAGGTGAATACTTTTCCTAGCCCTCCTATGAACCCCTGCACCCCTCCAACCCACAAAACTACATAGTTTTCATAATAAATGATGATCATAGCTCCCAAGTGACATAATTTAGGTCCCAGGCCTACATTTTTAAATGAGGAAAAAGATGATTTTCCTGTACAAAGCTGGCAAGAGGTAAGCTACAGGCTACTCCTTTCCTCCCAGTACCCAAACTCTGCCTACATGTGGCACAGTCTACAGCACAATACATATGGGCAGAGAGAATAGAGTTGGCATTTCACATGCACTCCCATCCTTTCAGAAGATTGGCAACATGAGTCAAGCGATTCTTTTTAACTAAGTTTCTGGAACTTGCAACCGAGACTTTCAAGCATTATTTAATGAGATACTAAAGAAAAATCCCTATTTTAATATGAGTATTACTTAAAAGCAGGTCCACTCCCAAGAACCTGATTCAAATAGATGTGTATATGCTACACAAAAATGTAGAAGCTTTTCTATTCTGATCGCCAAATCAATAATTTAGCACTTAAATGCATTCCTAATGCATAAGCAATAAAGCTGAAAGATGCCTAACATTTTTGTCTGATACCCTATGGTCATTAGTGGTGAACAACTAAAGACGCTGAAAACGACCAATTCTATTGCCACCCCAAGACCATCACTAACCTCCTTGACTTCAGAAATGGACTATCCTTTCCTGTCACATAATCAGGTTTTAATATGTGACAGAATTTCATAGCACCTCCTGGTCACCAAATTTCCTTCAGAGCTTCTATTGATAACAAAATTCTTCTTGAAAGTCTGAATGAATTAGAACTTCTTAAATAACCTGTTTCCCCTACCAATTCCTCTCAGTGTTTTTTCCAGTGCTGCAATCCACCCAATTGGTGAAACAAAAATCAGAGGCCTTCGCCTTTTATGGAAAAGAAAATTCAAATATACTTCACCCATCTAAGATAAGAATGGGTAAAAGAAGAGAACTGGAAATATATATATATATATATAGTCCATCTCCTATTCATTCAGCCACCTGCATATGAGGAAATGGGGGTGTTTGTGTGGCAGGGGGAGACAGTCAGAGGCACTGAGAAAATTAGTGTTTAGAGTGCAAGATGTGTACTTTCATTTTTTATTCAGATTCTTGATGCTGAGCCACATGCACCACCAAGTGTAATCACTGACTCTTTATTTCTAATTTTCTGAATATCCAAAAATAGACACAATAGGCTAAGATAGAGGCTAATGGCTAGGCTATAGAATTGTCTTGCTGGACAGAAGTTAATCCAGAATCATTCTCACAAAATTATTTTCTCATTAATTTAAAGGAAAAAGTAAGTGCTATCATAAATATTCCTTCAAAAAAATTGTGGTACATCAGCTTTATAGACTCCTAAAGTTCTCTCTCATGCAAGTTTCATATTTAAAAAGGGATTATTAATTTTCTTCATCTGAGGCTTAAAAAACACCTCCCTTTACCATTCCAACATGCTTTAGGTACCGGTTTCTTCCATTAGACTTCCTGCCATTGTTCCAAAGATAGACAATACATAAATAATAATCGTCTATCATGTCAAACACTGTGTTTAGGAAGAGAACCAGCCAGATTTCACCTGCAAGGGCTGGTGAATCACAAAAAAGGTCACTTATGACTTGTTACATGAATTACAGATTGCAGAGAGAACAACAGTGTTTTCCATCTTAGCAGAAATGGGCACTGGTGCAGCCTGTTCTGTTACCAGCATGTCGGTGGCATTGAGATAGTGCTTGCTGGCCATGCACTGCTCCAGCTTCTGAGGCACTTGCTTGATATTCTCGATTTCATCCAGCAGGTTCAAGACATGCTTATGTTCAATTCCTTCAATCCACAGTTTGCGAAGCTCATCCCGTTTGCAGTGCAAGAGCATCTTGCATGAGAGCAGATTTTCTTTTACCTAGAACACAACAATACTGGGTCAGTCCAAAGTCTTACCAGCCTAAAACCCTAACCTGGCTAGTATTCCTCATGGGTACTCCTGTATCAAACAGTTGCCAAGTTCCACTCCCACCTACTCCCCTTGGCTGGTCAGCTTGCAAAATTCTAAGCCCTGTTCTGACACTGACTCACTTGGGTGCATCGAGATTTTCTCTCCTGTGAAATGAGAAAACTACTTGTCACCTGCCTTTGAGTAAATCGAAAAATAAAAAAATTACTTAGGTGATAAAGCACTTTAAAAATACGAAGTATCACCCTCGTGTTAACATATCTAAGTGAGTGACTGATGTAAGCCTTTATTCTTTCCCCAACTCTCCATGTGTATTTACTATTCAGCTGATAGGTCCCTAGGTCCATTTTGCTAGGTCTAGAACTTCAGCTGAAGTTCATAATCAAGGAACAGGGCATTCAACTCTACTAGTTAAAAGGAAACTAAGCTCATTTGTCCAGGCACATTCAGAGAGAATCTTGAAATAAAAGGAGTAAGGACATACCAATCATTTTTTGCCTTGTATTCTGAATTTACCCACCAAATAAATCCCAAGCATTCTCATAAATCTGCATTGGATAGTGACCAACAGAGGTGCAGTTTGACAAAATAAAAGAGGATCACCAAGGGGTAACCACAATGCACATGAATATATTTTCATTTTCTACCCAAATTAAAACTTTTCATCGTTTACAACATGGCAAAATAAAAAAAATCATGGCTTATCAGAATTTACAGAATGACTTCCACATACTTGACAACCCTAATACGTATTTTTAGTTAAATTAGCATTTAATCATTGCAGTTTTGCTTGAGGTAAAGTGTATGACAGAATATATCTCACATGTAGCATGTGATGGGTTTTAATACGTACGTACACCTGTGTGATCCAAACCTTTCTCAATACATAGGTCATTCCATCATCCTAAGTCTACCATGTGTCTGACAATTGAAATTTTGAGGGATGCTTCTCCAAGATTTGGCATGATGGTGTACCTACTCAATGATGCTGCCCATCTGGTGATTACAACTAAATTTCAACATTTTCCCAACCAACAAAAAATATGAAGATAGAATGCTAAGATTATAAGGTTTCCTGAGAAAACATATCACCTAATCCTACAACTTTAACTCAATACCTAACTTATTCTTTTATGAACTCTCCAATGTAAAAAGAGCCCTCCAAAGTAAAAAAAAGGGGACTGTAATCTCTTTTGATAAGCATAGAGAATTATGATTAGTTTTTGGAGGTCAGACACCACTAAAAAGCTGTTGGAGATGATCCATGTTACCACTTTGCTTTCCTGATAAGTGAACAAAGCAATAGCAGAAGAATTGTCTTAGCATAAAACAACAAGAAACAGATCACAGAGGAATAAATAGCAAATAAGAGATGGCAACAAAACTTTGGAAGCTGGCAAGAAGATGGATGGAGGATCATTTAATTACACAGCAGAAAGATCCGAGAATGTTAGGTCTGGAGTGGAGTTTGCTAACACTGAAAAGCTAGCATGTAGTATACTGTATGCAGAAAAGGGTTGAAACTTTCTCCCAGGATTATTTTGAGACAGAGATCTTCATCAAACCACACAGACAGGTAATTCCCTCCCACCAAGATTAGTCAAGTAGGTGGTTTATGATCTGAAGAAACCAAATCAGAAAGATCTGAACCAGGAAATGCCAGCTAGAACTGAGGGGAGGGGAGGGTGTGAGGTAGAGGGCAGAAAACAGAAGGATGAGGTCAAAGGTGCCTATCAAACAGGTAAGATCCTCAGTCCCCCCTGGGTGCTCAGCTGTATTCCATGGTTAGGCTCCAATAAAACTCTGCTTGACTTTCAATCCCAACACAGGAAACTTACTGTTTTCTGAGGAAAAGTGAATAATTGAAAAGACCTATAGATCGTGACATTTGAGTTTCACAAAGGAAATTGTTGGGTCCCTGCCCAAATCAACACCAGAGAAGTCCCATACCAGCTTCTGCATTTCCAGTCAACTTTGAAGTACTCACTCTTACACACAAATAGTTAGCCAGTGGTGAGCAGACAGCCAAGGAAAGCCTGAAACACAAAGATAGGCATCAAAACAAAGAGAAAAAAGTACTAGAGATGAGAAAGAAAACAAATTATACAGAAAACATATTTTTACAAAGTTGTAACATCCTCAGGAAAAAGGAGAGAAGACATTACATCAATGAAACAAGAACAGGATGCTATTAAAAAAAACTCATGAAAACCAATTGTTGGAAATTAAAAATATAATTTTAAAAATCCAATAAAAATATTAGATGACATAAAACACTCCAAAAAACAACACATAGGAAAACAGGACATAAAGGAAAATGAGGGCATTAGTCTAAGAGGTCCCATACTTGCCACATAGGAGGGAAAATGAAAATGAGTAACTGAAAATTCCCAGAGCAAAAGACATGAATTTTCAGACTGAAAGGCACACCAGCTGTTCCAGATAATGAAGTGAAAAAAGACCCAAGCCCAGACACCTTATCCTGATATGTAAGAACACATGGTATAAAGAGAGAATCTTTAAAGCTTTCAAAAGAAAAGAAAAAAAGACCAGGGTTTATATGGAGAATTGTGATTCAGAATGCATCAGACTTTTCTCAACTGCAACCCTAAAAGCTTCAAGACAAAGGAAAAACATCTGCAAAATCCTAAGACAGAATTATTTCCCAGCAAATCTATCAATCAAGTGTGAGGAAAGAATACAGACATTTCAGACTTACAAGTTCTCAAAACATAAACCTTATATATGTATCATCTCTGAAGTGACTGAAGAACATGCTCCATCGACACAAGATAAACAGAGGAGACACACAGGATCCAGAAGGGGGGAAATGGAAGCAGAAGGAAGGCAACAAGTTTATTCCATCACTAAAGACAATAAAATTGCACAAGCAATAATAAAATGCTGGGTGGCTCAGATGTAAATGCTTATGTACTTAATAATAAAATAGGCACTATCTACTTAACCAAGAAATAAGAAATAAGTATATAGAGAGGATGACAAAATGGAGGAAAGAGGGGCAAAGAGAAAGACCAAATCCTCCTCTATAATGTCTAAGACAGAAAATTCAAGACTAGTATAAGCACATTACTTACAATGATATATCTGGAAAAAAATAAATAAAAATGCCTCTGAAGTATAAGAATTAGGCCTGGGGTGGATAAGGTAGAGATGTACTTGCTTTTAATCAGCATCTGTGATTTTATTTGATATTTTAAACACATTTTAAAACTCAGATGTTGGTGGAGTTTTAAGTCTTTGGATTAGGAACTCCAGCTACCAAACTCATTCCAGCTATTAAATTCGTTTTAATACAAATTTTAGTTTTAATCTCTTAGGATCTGATTTCTGATATTCTACTCATATACCACCTTGGGTCTATAATTCTCAGCCTTCCCCTCTATATGTAATGGTTACTATGGAAACAGTGAAAAATAAATTTTATGTCACACAACACCCAACTAGGCTCTTTATCAAGAGCAGGGAATGAACTTACCAAGTGTAAGTATAGCTTGGCAAACTTTTCTGATTAGAAAAAGGTCATTATGGCATTTCACTCTAGGATATAGACCACGTAGTCAGCTCACTACTCAGTTGTGCTATGTGAGGGAAAAATGAAATGGAAAATAGAATTTGTTCGGGGGGTAGAGGGGTAGGAGAAAACAATATCAGCCTGTGTGGAAAAGCAACATCACCAAAATTATTCCCTAAACTAAGTTAACTAAGCTGCAGACCTAAGAAGCTTTAAGAACATTTAATACTAAATTGCCCCGAGGAGTCAGCTTTTTTATTAGCAAGTCACCCTAATGAAGAAATGTTAGTTTAAAACTTGGAGGACAGGGGAGAGGGGAAAGAAATACTAGTCAGCAATAGAAGGGAAGAAATATGAAGAATCTCAAGAACATGTTGAGCAAAAGGCAGTAGAGTAAAAATCTGTAGGGATAGAACTCCAGTCATTTGTTCTTGGAGCAGGAAGTGGGGTGCAGGAGGAGCTAACTGCAAAGAGACAGTAGGGAAACCTCTGGGGTGATGGTTCCACGCTCCAGGATATCTGGACACATTTGCCAAAACTCACTGAACTGCACTCCAAGTGTGTTGCATTTTACTGCATGTAAATTACAGTTCAACCAACTTGATTTTTTTCTAAATAGGAAGAGGAGACACATGGGTATGCCCCCATCAATGAATGATAACATCTAATGTAAGAAAGGTACAAATTACACCTAAAGATTGATTTCTCAAAGGCCTGTTCTAGTTTTACAAATATGGTGACTGTGTTTTAATTCGATCCTATCTATTTATCAGAGTAATTTAGATTGAAATTTTTCCTGGTTCTCCCTTAAATAAATCCTTGAAGAGTCAAGCTGTTCAAATCATGACATCAACACCCAAGTTTAGAAATCCTTCCTCAAACACAAGCTTCCTTTGCTTCCTTGGAATTCCAGTAACTTCAGTTCCTAATCACCTGTTCAGCGATAACAAGAATTTCAGTTTCAGGACACAAGAGCTGCAAGTCATTGTCTTATGAGAAAATAAGGAAAACAGCGTCCCAGAGTTTTTTGTGAATAGAAACATAAGATGATACAGACAGCAGAGAAAAAACAATTTGCAGCCCTGCCTCGGGAAAGATAAAGAAGGAAAGCTTACTGTGTCCTCATATTGTGCAGCATGAGTGAGAGAAGGAACAGGGCTATGTGGAAGAGGGGGGTGGCTACAGGGGGGGTGGATACAGGCGCAGGGTGTGTGGCCATACCTTGGAAGGTATAAAATCAGCAAAGCACTGAATCTGCATAATATAAACAGGGTGGAGGATGTCTTTAGTGTGTATTATTATGAGCACAGTCAATGTACAAGCACTCGCTGAAGCTGTACACTAGAATTATCCTGTAAAGTTCCCCAAAAGCAAAGGATGTATATGAGAGTATAAGTCAACAAATTATTCTTAATTC